TCACACAACAATAAAAGCATCTAGAAAAGACCATTTTACTCTGGGTATTTGGAATTTTGACCAATACCACTAGATGCAGAAGAGAACTAACAATAAATTATAGTAATGAAGAAATGAAGAGAGCATTCACAAAGCAATAATTGTCTCTTTAAAGGATACCTTGCAAACTTTTGTCCAGATCACGGATCAATGCATACTTCTTTTGTAGAATATTTGGTAGTGATTCCAGATCTGTTCAAAGGCAAAAGAGTTAACCTATTCAATAACTTAATGAATGAGGATAAGAAATGTCATTAAGATTTGCCAAAACATCATATATATAGCTCAAACTGGAGGGTCCATATGTTATATCCACCTAACTAACACAATCGAAAACAACTATCCTCTAATTCAAAAGGGATTGGGTGTAATATACATCATTTTTCTCCACAACTGATATTTATTGAAAAATAGAATCTGTATAATAATTACACATTACAACAGACATTATCTATAATAAGCAACCACAAGCTCTGTTTATCATCATAAACAAATGAGTTTATCCATTCATTTTCCACCTTAAAAGAGATAGTCTTGGAACAAAAAGGAGCCTTAATTTTATTCCCTTCCTACATTCTTAAGTTCAAACAGCATGATACCAAGAAACGAGCCTGGTTTGCTACCTTTTGACATGGCTTCTTGCAAGTAAGCATCCAAGATTTTGCAGTTGGCATGAATATTTTTAGATGACTTAACCTTTGAAAGAATTATATGGCATTGATAAAGATTATTCAAAAACGAAAAAACTCTACAGGAAATAAAGATCAGATTTTTCTCCCTTCCCACCTTTCCCAACCTACAAAAATTCGGTTATTTCTTCGTTTCCGCCATCCAATGCCAATCACACAACAATCAACAACTAAATAGATGACGCTAACAACTTCATGGTCTCTACAGCTTACTTAATTTTTTTTCTTTTAGAAAAGCATTCTGGAGCTGAAACAACATAGAATGAGCGAAATGTTAAACAAAAAAAAGGGGAGATTGTTATTTTCCTAGAAGAATACATGACATAGATTTACTAATTGAATTGTATATACCATCATCATCATCATCCCTGAGGGAATCAAATTTAACTAGGGTTTTTTTTTTTTACCGCATAAAATGATTTTTTTTTTTTAAAAAAAAAAGCAATATGAAAAAAATTGAAGGGGAAAACGAGGAAATAGAAAGCT